AAAAAACCCTGGCTGGTGATCCTCCCAAAAAATAACCTAGCAAATTGTAATAAATCAAGTGATGGAATATTATGCAGCCATCTGTGAACAGAGAATGTTGCCCGCCACTCTAGTTCTACAAGGATCAAGCCATTGGCAACTGCAGCCGACCCTGCAGTGGAATGCTACCCTGAGGACAATCCAGGATGGAGAAAAACAGGAAGAATTCTGTGCTTTGGATACTGGCCCTAGATAAGATGCATATCTAAGGGATCATTTCGAGGAGCCCAGACGCTTGCATCTTCCCATGCATAGAAAAGCACTAGAATCATTAACTTGAGATGTTTGGTTCTTGCAATTAGCAGTAGTCTCCTGATGTTCAACTACATGCTTTTTTTTCCAGCAAAAAACTCCTATATATCCTAACTCCTCCCTTACCCCTTCTGAGCAGTTTCTCAGAGCAACCTGAGAGGCTGTGTCCTGGGCTAGAGTCCTCAGTAAGATATCCAAATAAAACAACTCACAACTTTTAGGTTGTGCGTTTTTCTTCAGTCAACACATTCAACAGGACAACGGGGAGATGAGGGAAAAAAGGGCAACTGTAATATATGTTAAGAGCTGAATACAAAATAAGGACATCCACAACAGCTAACATTCATGGCTCTTAACTCTGTGATCTAAGTACTTCTCTAAGCACAGCACGGTTAATCTTCACAACGACGAGACCATACGAGACAAGTATTCATCGAATCCTTATGTCTAGACAAGGAAACAAGAGCCTGGGAGGTTTAAGAACTTGAACCTGGGCAGCCTGGTTTCAAAGCATGTCCTCCTAAAGCAACAGGCACGCTGTATTCCAACCAGCTACAACTCTGCACGCCCCAAATCCAGGATCGCAAATTCACCTGCAGGAATGGAAAGGACCCCTGAGGCAGAATTACGGGTGTCTGGGTTTACTCCTAACGGTCTTTACTACCCCCCTCAATAACTAGTTTTTCATAACAGGCTTTTGTGTTTTCTTAAGTACCAAAGAGCCTGAAGAGAGAGCAGTAATGGGGGTGGGATCACACATCTTCTCTTGGGCACTAAGTAACAATAATATATGCCCCAAAAGCCTGGGACAAAACCCCTTTGCCGTTTCAGAGACATGCAAGGGGGGAGGCTGCTTGGCAGAGGACTTGTCAATTACCCGCAGCACCAAGGGTTAAGTACACAAGCTCCAGCTCGATGACAGGGCCGAGACAGCCACCTGGCCCGATTATTCAGTGCAGGCCGGGAGCCACTTGGTGGGACATGAGGGAAACACTCTCCGCTCCAGGGAACAGAGTTGGGGTTCCTCTAACAAGCTCTTCTGGGGTTTGTGAGAGTCGGGCATCTCCTCTGGAGTGCAATCCTACATGCTTCACATGCTGGGATGCAATTCTCATCCTGAACTTGGAGATCTCTTGAGACACCACTCCTGGGACACCCACTGTTATGGACTGAATTGCATCCCTCCCAAATTCATATGTTTTGACTGTATTTGGAGGTAGGACCTTTAAAGAGGTAATTAAAGCATCCTTATAAGAGGAAGAGACACCAGGGATGCTTGCTCACAGAGAGAAGGTCATCAAGCCAGGGGGAGAGGCCTCGCCAGAAACCAAGACTGCCGGCGCCTTGACCTTGGGGGACTTCCAGCCTCCGGAACTATGAGAAATAAATTCCTGTTGTCTAAGCCACCAGTCTGTGGTATTTTGTTACAACAACCCTAGCAAAGGAGCACACCCTGGATACCCAGACAGACTCGCTCTTCTTATTTTTTTGTGATGACACAGGAGGCAGGGGCAGGATGGGGAGGGTACAAGTCAAAACCACCCACCGCTCAAAATTTCTCAGGATTCTGATCTCTCGTCTGGAACACCCACAGGACAGACAACAGTGCTGTCCCCTGAAGGTTCCCTGAAATTTACAGCCACTGCAGAAAACAGAACCCCCTCCCGCCATACACACTTATCACCCACAAACCACACCACTACAGGGTGTCGAGGGTCAAAATGTGGATGTAGTGACATTTTTCTTCAGAGATGCAGGTTGTAAAGTCTGGGTATGCCTCTATTTGCCAAAGATACCAAATAAGAACACCAGATTTACATTTTTAGAAAAGTGTACGACTAAAAACAAGAAAAACAGTCTAAATCCCTGCCATCAACATCACTCCAGTGCGCTCAGAGGCATGTCCTTAGTGAAAACACACAAGCAGGGCCAGCACCCTCCTCAAGGTCAGAAGATGGCTGAGGGAGACCTACAGACCACAATCTCTGTCGACCCCAAGAGCAGCTGACAAAGAGAATTGTGTCTGAGATGGCGGGATCTCATGCCAGGCTGCAGGAGACCTATGCGGAAGCACAGTGCTAGGTACCACAGGGTGGGGGGAAGTGGCGGTGTGGAGATGCCTGTATCCCTACAAATGGTGCCTAGGATGAGGCACCTACGAAGCCTGGCCTCCACATCCTCAATTTCGGGGTCTTTAGAGTAGATGCAATTCAGGGCCAGGGTAAAGTCTCACCCCTCTAGGTCAAGGTGTGACCCACGTGAAGAGGCAGCACTGCAGGCGCTAGAAAGACAAGGCATCAAATAACCGTGAGCCACAGAGAGAATTCCTCTTCCCTTTTCCACTCCTTCCGATGATGTCAGGAAAAATACCTGAGTGGATTAGCACTGAGATATCTTCTCATGCTTAGACAGGCAACAACATCCAGGCCGACTTACTAACACTGGCTCCTTTTCTTGTCTTTACTTTCACAGTTACCTGCTATTTAAGTCAACTAAGAGTGGCTCTCCGTTCACAGTAAGCATATAAAAGTCCATTTTTAAATAAAGGTATTCAGGTTTTTTAGGGGCACCCATTCTTAAAAAACGGCAGGGTAGGTAATAGTACAGAGGTAAATAAATAACTGAAATTTGAAAACCAGTGACCTTAGTGCTCTTCTGGCCCGTGTGTCCCACACACTGGCAGATATAGAAGTATCTGCTCAGCTGAACCCGAGGCTGAGAGGTGCCAGCGTAAACCACATGCCTTGGTTACGCAGTGAGACCACCCAATCCCCACACCCCAACCTCACAGCGCCTACTCATTTCCTTCCTCATCCTTGAATCAGAATGCTGGTTGCCCCCGAACCCCTCTTCCTTCCTTAGCCATGGGTGGTTTTTTCTTTTGGCGGGGGGTGGGCAGGTGGACGGATAGGACACACTGCCTCCTTAGCAGCCAGGGGAGGCCTCGGGATGGCTGTTGGCCACACAAGTGGGAACCTGTGTGCACCTTCTAGGAAGGGTCCTTACAGCTTGGGGGAGGGGAGAAGTTTACCTTTTTTGTGTCACAGACCCATTCCGCAGTCTGGTGATGAAGCCCATGGGCCTCTTCTCAGAAAAATGTTTTAAAATACATAAAATAAAACACCCAAGATTACAAAGGAAACTGATTAAATTGAAACAGAATTATTAAAATGTAAAAAGGAAAAGTGACACACTAATATACGGGATTTTTTATCACATTAAAAAACTACTGCATTTTCAAGCAGAAATGACATTGTGAGATTTTTCCATATCACTGTTGTTACAGGTGCCTGTGACTTCTATCAGTGACCAAGTCACCCATTTTGCTAAGGCTACTAAGGTTCCTATGGTTTGCTGCTACTTTCATAATTAAAGAAAATGCAACCTAACTGTTCATGGACAGATAAGTGGATAAAGAAGATGTGGTATACACACACACACACACACAATGGAATATTACTCAGCCATAAAAAAGAATGAAATTGTGCCATTGCAGCAACACAGGTGGACCTGGAGGGTACTATGCTTAGTGAAATAAGTCAGACAGAAAAAGACAAATACTGTATGATATCACTTATATGTGGAATCTTAAAAATAAAACAAACAAATTAATATAACAAAACAGAAACAGACATAGATACAGAGAACAAACTAGTGGTTACCAGTGGGGAGAGGAAAGGGGGAGGGGCAAGATGGGGGGAGGGGTAAGCGGTACAAACTTCTATGGATAAAATAAACTACAAGGACATATTGTACAGCACAGAGACTATAGCCAATGTATTACAATAACTTATATGAAGTATAATCTATGAAAATTTTGAATCACTATGTTGTACACCTGAAACTAATAATATTGTAAACAACTACACTTCAATTGAAAAATCAAGTAAAACAATAAAAAATAAATACTAAATTTCAGTCAGAGGTTAGAGAAAAAAGTCGTCATTTCTTCCCCTGTGCAAGTTCAGACCCCTGAATCCTACCTGTGGAAATGGAAGAAGTCTCTCCTTTGCCCCCTCCTCCTTCCTGGTACCTGGGATGAGAATGGGATGGCTGGAGCTAAAACAGCCATTTTGGACTGTGAGGCAAGATAGAAGGAGCCCTGGTCTCCAATGACCATGGAGCTACATGCCGGCCCAGCCTTCCTGCCTCTGGACAGAGCGATGAGTTCCTATCACATTAAGCCACGGTTTGCTGGTTTATTCTTTACCACATAAAGCCACTCAAACCTAACCGTAATTGCTGTATCACTAATACTTTCACTGAGTGGTGAGGTTGCAAACAGTTTGAACCTGATCATTAGCAACCTTCATTCATCTTTGAGAGACACTCTCTCCCTTACCTACAAAAGTGATTCCTCCAGAGCTACAAAGGAAACCCAACTAGAAAGTTCCTCTGTAGCTGATGGCCTTGCAGGAGACCAACCCGGAAACCGTGAACGACAGAAGTTTCCCTCTGCCTCAATCCTGCTCCACCTCTGAAGCACGTCCTTTAGAGCATTCACACACCCAAATATCAAGTTTTACAGCTCAGGGAGCTTACGACCACGCACCACACTCCAAGTCCACGACCAGGCACACACACACCTGACTTCATCCCACACTCTGTAAAGTCCACGGTCACACAGGAGCAAGCACAAAGGCACTGCCTCGATGTGCAGGCCTAAGAGTCATCCTGGCATCGGCAGAAGCTGCTCAGAAAGTACTTACTAATTGTCATGGACTCTGGCACCGAGGCAGAAGGTAACAGGCTGCTCAGAGGACTTCCTTGGCCTGGAGGACTGGCTTCCACACTGGGAAAGGCAGGCAGAGGGAAGTTATAGTCGGCCACTTAAAACACACCTCCTCACCATTCAAAAACCAGCAGGCATTACGCTTGTTCAGGTTTACGAACTAGAAGGAAGGGAAGGATGCCCTTTGAAATTATAGTCGGTCCTCATTTGTGGGTTCCATAGCTGCAAATTCGCCTACTCCCTGCAGTTTATTTGTAACCCCAAAACTCCCAGCTCTCAGGTATAACATGGTCACCCGTGAACACGCACAGAGCGGTCAAAAGGCTGAGTCATGGACGTGCATGCTCCCACCTCATGCCAAACAAGGCAAGCTCTGCCTTCTTTCAACTATCATTCTGTCCTTCTGGCGAGCTATTCAGCACCACATTGTTCACATTCTTGTGCTTTTTGTTGCTGATTTTGCATCTAAAATGGCCCCAAGCTAGTGCTGAAGTGCTGTCTGGTGTTCCTGAAGGCAAGGCTGTGAAGTGCCTGACGGAGAAAATACACGTGTGAGGTGGCCCTTGTTCAGGCCTATTGATAGGGCTGTTGGCCTCGAGTTCACCGTAAGTGCATCAACAACATATGTTAAATAAGGTGTCTTTAAACAGGAACTGGCATAAAACATAGGTATGTACTGATCTGGTGACAGATCTGTTGATCTGTTGACAAAAATGTTGTGACCAGACACTCCCAGGAACCTAGGAGCAATGGTTCCACCTTGACAGAACACGACCACCACAAATAACGAGAGTTGACTGTGTAGTTACAAAGAATTTGCAACGTGGAAAAACAGCACTTCACATCTGTCATGAAAATGGCAAGACCATAATCCGGTTACCACAGCCACACCCACACACCAGGAGGAAAAGGACCAAAAACATCATCGATGAAATGGAGTTGGGGTTAAGAGTGATGTAGTTTCCTGTACTGCTGCATTTTCCAAATTTTCTAAAATAAACAGCAGAAAGGACTCAGCATCCTGGATGGATCTGGCGACACCAACCCTTCCTGGTATCGTACTAATCCGGACGAGCCTCCTACAGGGAGTGCCATTCTCAGAGCGCAGGGCAAGACCGGAACAGCAAGCATGGGTGGAGGTAAACAATGACCCCACTCTGGAGCCAAGGTTGAAAATGCAGATGCTATGCCCTGAGGACACCAATTTAAACCCATGGAGAGAAGAAGGAAAAAGCTGTAAGAGCAACAAGGATCGCGGTGGCGTCAGGGAGCCCTCAGTGTCCATCTCAGCTCTGCCACCAAATGTCCAGTGACTCTGGACAACTCAGCTTTCCCTTGAGATACTTTCATGTGGAAAAAAAGAAAACCAATGTGGTGCTTGCTACTGAATGGCAGACTAAGCACTTCACAGATATATAATATCAAAGTGGTTTAAATATTATGTAATATTACAATTATAAATTGTAATATTGTTATCATTATCAAATAGTAAAATCAAGCAAATTGTGATGGTGGAGGTACCCAGATATGGTTCCCAAAGTGCAAAAAGTAAACGTGGTATGCAAGTGAAATTTGACACATACCAAGTCTCGGGCCTGAGACCTCTGGGCACTTGGCACTCTGGGATGTTAGACCAAACCTGAGCTAAATTAACATGAAGTGAGGCCTTGCCCTTCAGTCCCAGCAGGCGCCCACCCATCTTTAAAAAAGAATAAAAGGCAGAGTTGTAAAGAGGACAGTTCAACCCCAGAGGCAGCTTGGGGTCGGAATACTCACCTGTACCGAGGTCCAGGCTCTGGAAGGACGTGGTCATCGGGTCCTGTCCCGTTCTCCAGGCTCCCGAGGGGGGTATCTGCGCACACACAGCAACCACAGAGAGAAAGTCAGGGTTCTCTTCTCGTTTCATTTTCCCCATGAGACAAGGACACAGTGCAGACACTGGCTCACCTGCTAAATCAGTTTACTTACAAATGTTTACCCGTCTGGCACACTGGATTTTCATCTGCTCCCTGTTTCATCTCTTTGGGCCGTAATCTCAGACTTGGTATCAGTCACTGACCGGAGGCCCTATTTTCCCACTTAACCTTTTTTTTTTTCACTGAGTATAGCTGACATACAATAATATCAGTTTCAGGTGTATAGCATAGTGATTCAACATTTATATACACTACAAATTAATCACCAGGATAAATGTAGTATTATCTGTCACCGACAAAGTTATTACAATATTATGGACTATATTCCCTATGCTGTACGTTACATCCCATGACTTATTTATTAACCTCTTTGATCTGGAGCCACCTGGAATTATGCATGAAGTCCATATCCAGAGCCAACCTCAGAACCAGGGAATAATAAATCAGCTGTTAGATCCGCTCCCACCTGCAGTGTCTGAAGATGGACACACGAGGGCAGCACAGCCCAGGGACTGCTGCTTTCTACAGCGCCACTTGCCCTGCATCAAGTGGGAAAGGCATTTGGAAGAAGTGAGGCTGTAAGTCATCTCTAGAAACAACAGGCAAGAGGCACTAAAGACTTTCATAGGTGCATTAGCTGCTGTTCAAGTCACGGAAGGACGCACGTCTCGTTGCCCTAAGTCATCTGTCGTGTGACCTCCTCCTCTGCTTACACCTGGTCTGGTCCTGCTCAAGATTCCCCGGCTCTTAAGAGGTTGACCTAAGGGAACCTTAAGGGGTTTTCTCACCTTTCCTTCTACCCTGCTGTCTCCACCAAACTATTCCACTCACGGCTACCTCTTTTAAGAAGTTCACAGAGGGAAGAGAAAGTGTCCACCTCTCTGCCTCCTATTTCTCGCTCCCCAGCATCGTGGTGAGGTCAGGGTACAGGCTCCGCCCACTGGCCTGGGTTCAAGTCCCTGCTCCCCAACTTCAATCCAGCAAGTTACCCAGCCTCTTTGTGACTCGGCTGCCTCCTCTCTGAAATGGGCTGACACTAGTGCCAACCATACATTTTTTTTTTTACTGGAGTACAGTTGCTTTACAATATTGTGTTAGTTTATACTGCACAGCAAAGTGAATCAGCTATACGTATACATATATGCCCCCTTTTCATACATTTTAATAACGCCTGCCACATAATTTAATTTCACATTTTATTACACATACATTTTGGTGAGAGCGTGCAGTGAGCGGGGGCTGGTATCAGCTCGCCCTGAAACCAAGACCCCTCCCCTCGTCCTCCTAGGAGCTCTCTGCTCTCAGCCTTCAGAACACAGTGGTCCTCCTCCCCTCACTGTCTCTTTCTCTGATTCCTGCGTGAAGGTGTCGCTGGATCACGGCTCCGTGGCCTCTGACGCCCTTGGCAAACCCAGCAAAGGTCCTGGCTCCAGCTCTCGGCTCCGTGAAGGTGACAGCTCTCGAGCCCTCACCTCTGGCTAGGCCCTCAATCTTCAATAACTAAACCCACGTTTATAACCGCCCGCCAGAAAGCTCTACTGGGATACCGTACTGGCCTCCCAACTGATCATGACCTTCAAAACCGCTCCCACCTCAGAAGATGGTGGCACCACCCTCCCTCCCATCCCAGAGCTGGTTGGTGTCCAAGACCAGTCAGTCCCACCCAGTCACCTCCCACTCCTTGCTCTCCAGCCACTTCCCCTGCCCCCCAGTTCGAGGGCTCCAGGCCCTCCCTGGGGTCTTCTGCAGCAGGTCCCCTCAGCTCTGCTTCAGCCTCCAATCTAACTCACACACAGCCGTCAGATTCCACTCCCTGAAGCAAAGACAGGATTCCAACTACACAACGCAAATCCACGGGTGGAGTAAAGACCAGCATCACCCACCAGGATTCCGGACACCACGCCTACCCGGCCCAAGTGGATTTCCTGTCATAATACACGACCCTGATCCCGTGCCAGCTGCAGCGGGCCTGATGCACTGGGGCCACAGAGCGAGCGCAGACACTGTCAAGGCCCCTCTTCCTCTGCCCCCAGCCACACATCATTTTTCCAACTGCCAGACGTCCACTCCCTTCAGCATGCCCACACCCGACCCCGGCACTGATGTGCTCCCGTGAACCCCAGCTGCGGGCCTGGCTCTGACTAAGGTCAGGGTCACACTGGAAGCAAAACAGACATGGTCCTGCCCTCACGTACCTCAAAGGCTAGTGTGGGTAGGGGTTCGGGGACAGGCGTTATCAGGTAATTACACAAATACACGATTTCAGGTGGTACACCGAGGTCAGAGAAGTGGAGACACCTAGGTTTACAATAGAGTGAAACCAAGGCCCGCGCCGCGTGCGGTGTGGTGGGCGGCAGGGCCACGGTGTTCTCTAACGCAGCAGCCCTTGGGCCGCAGCCTAAAGGCAGGAGGAGCTCGAGGGGAGGAGGAAGTGAAAGCTGGCTGGTATGGCCAGGGCAGCAGGCAGAGGGGAAACGGGAGGAGGTGAGGCTGCGGGGTGAGTGGGGGCCGGGTGGGCACAGTGAGGGTTCTGGATTTGGAGCAGGAGAATGAGGCAATCTGATGTACATTCTAAAAAATCACTCTGGCTGCTGAAAGAAGGATGGATGGATGGCAGACAGGGATAGAGAGCTGTTGAGAGGCTATTTTGTACGAGCCCAGCGAGAGAAGGATGAGTTAGAAGAGGGTGGTGGAAGCATTCAGAGGACACTTCGACCATTCATCCCTCCTCCTCTACGTTGGAGGATTAAAATGATGTCGCTGTCCCCTCCCTGCCTGCGGCACTCCCAGGGGACTCGCCTCTAGATCCCCCAAAGCCTGGCAGTGACCCAACCCCAGACCCAATGGCAGGACTGGGAGAAGTCGGGGAACATTGGACCTGATGGGGAGAGGAAGGGGCCGAGGACCCAAGCTGTCCAGTGAACCAGCTCCGCATTTGCCAAAACCCAACTCCAACCACAGGCCTTCAGCGAGGAGCAGTAACACTTCCACGTACATAGTCAGCAGGAATGGGTGTTCTGTCCCCCTCAATTTATGATTCTCAGTTGAAAGAAACTTTGGGGACTTTTTCTCCCTGGCAGCTTCAAACAGATGTTGGTAAATGTGCTTTGCTCTGCTCTAGGTAATGACATGCCCGGAGGAATGATTAGATCTAATCCTCCATCTGCTTGTCGGGGTCTCGGGTGACTCTGGGCTGGTGTCTCCCTTCTCTGAGACCCTCCCTAACCCCCAAAATGCAGCCCAGGGCATGGCCCGCCAAACCACAGAGGTGCCTCTCCCAAGGTTCAGAAGGATAATAATCCTGTGTTCAGGGTCCCCTTCTCTGCCGCCTTCTCCCTCCCCACACTTAGCTACTAAAACATCCAAACTTCCCCGCCACAGGCCTCTCTCCCTTTTTTTTATCCCCTCCCTCTTTCTCTAAATAACCCCCAAGTTAAAGACATGAAATGACTCCCAGGCCAGAAAGAGAAAGGAGATCTGAACGTCACTAAAGTAGGCAAGTGTCAATCAGAAGGGACACTAGTCAAATGGAGTGAAAGAGAAGGAATCTTGGGGAGAAATCTGGCCGTGCACACCCAGGGTTGCCCATGGAGAGGCCGGGCCGGCAGCCAGGCCAGCCTCAGCACCACCAGGCCGCACACCTCCACGGACATGGGGCCTCAGGCCAGGAGGGACTTGATGCGCTTCGGCACTCCAGCCAGGACACGGCTTCCCCCAGCTGATTCTAGTATCTTCGGGCAGCCCTAGACTAACGCGCCTTCCCATGCAGTGTTCTCACCATGATGAGTTTGCCCCTCAGGCGGTCACAAGCTTCCATGACTCCTGGCAGCTTTGTTAACAGTAAGTTTAAAAGCTGGCAGACCAGCTCACACGCAGCACCTCTGGTGAGGACAGTCGAGACCAGCTGGAGCTGGGGTCCCATCAACAGTGACTAGGTGGAGCCTCTGGGTCTGCGAGGCTGACAGCCCGAGGAGGGATGGTGGGAAATCTGCGGGGGGAGGGGTGACTCCTGGCGAGGATCCTGGACACCGGCCAGAGTGCCGCATTCCGTGACTAAACCCCCGATGCGAATGGCACACAGCCAAGCCCCAGGAGCAGCCTGACACGGCAACCCAGCGACAGTTCATGACCCAAACAAAAGGCCCGCCCGTGGGGAGCAGGGCAAGGGGAATGGGGAACTGGACACCGACTCAGATGCCTGAACAAGCACTGGAAATCCTCCAGAGGTCCCACAGACAAACGTGAGGACCACCTACTCTCTGACAGCCACCACCCCACACCCCGCCTTCTCAGACATTCTGCTCGTGTCTGCACTGCTGCTGAATGGGCAAGGGCGAGGTGACCAGACCTCCAACCCGCAGTGGCTCAGACCAAGGCTGGTCACCCGAACGGAAGGAGCTGCAGGGGCCAGCCTGGCCTGCAGACACCAGCTAGGCCCACCGGACCGTCCCTCTCTGGGGTTTCAATCAACACCTGGACAGAAGCTCTAGTTGGTATGGAAGGACACACAGCCGAGGCAGTAGTGTTGGCACCTCAGCCAAATAGAGGCCAAACAAGAGGGTGGAGAATGATGAGGGAGCAGAGACAGACCCGGAGGGAGAGGAGGTGGGGGCAGATCCCCACAAGGAAGCGTGGGGCACAGAACCAGAATGACAGCAGGACCTCGCCGGGCCCGGAATCCCTCCATCCCAAAGTCCCAGCTTCCAGCCCACGGGTGCCCGCAAGGCGACCTCACTAGTGCAATGCCTGCAGGAAGCCTGCCTGGGGACTTCACATGTGCCCGGCACCTTGTTCCAGATTAACTCAGGGAACCTTTGCCACAAGTCTCAGAAGGAGGAGGTATAACAATAACCAGCCCTTCCCTCGCGGGCTGTGGTCAAGAGTGGATGAGCTAACCCAGATCAATCACCTTACAGTCCTGGACTCACTTCAAGGACTGTCATCACCGCCATCCATACTTTCCAGAAGAGAACAGCCTGGCGGACGTAAGTCACTTAGCCGCACTCTCATTAGCCTCAATTTACACCGGGAACACTGCCTCACAGGGTGGGCACGTGCCTCCCTCAGCAACTTCTAGAGCTGGGCCTGAGCTGACCACCCACCCCAAGACTGCGCCAGTCAGCGTGCCCGCCCTGCCTCGTGCCACAGCTAGTTTGAGTGGGTTTCTGTTCCTGACACAGTGACACAACAACAGTCTATCATCCGGTTCAGAATGTCAACAGCTTCCCGGGCAGTCGGTGGGCCCCGGCCCACGGTTCCCTAAACCTGGGCCTAGGAGGGTGAGAAGGGCACCTACACAAGGGAGCCGAGGCCTCCGTGACACGCTGGTGCTGTGAGGCAGTGACAGTGACCAAGCATTTCACTGCGCCAGGCGCTGCAAACACCTACCCCACCAGGAGAGCCGGGCTCATCCATGCTCCCAGCCTCACCGCCCACCCCCCCAATACCCCCCACCATGACCTGCTCTAGCTAAAGAAAACAATCACGAACCACAGGCAAGCCTGCTCGACCATAAGGAACAGGTCAGAAATGCTTAGCCACTTTTAAGCAAGCTACTCCCTGACCCCCAAGCACTTGGCTACAAAGAGCACAAGGACCTTTAGAGCTACGGGTTCTGTGACCTTCTCCCTTCTCCTAAGAGGCAAAAATAATGGTCACCATTTGTGATCAGCTTGCATGTGACCAAGTTCAACAAATCACTGCCAAGAAGAAAAACAGGCCCCAGGGGCTCCCTGGTGATTTGTCAACACTCACTCAGGTGAGAGCACCTCAAAATACCCAGGCTCAGCAAGGAGAGCAGCCTCTGTTGCCCCTGAGCTCAACAGACCCCGACTGCCCTGAGCCCTGGCCTCCGTGCTCTCTCTCCCACTCTCCCACGCCCCCCACCTGCAGACGTAACCCAGCCACTCCTGCTGCTTCTCGAGCCAGAGCTGTGACAGGAGGAAAGGAGGAATCGGGAGACACCTACCTGCAGGGCCGTAGGAGCCCACGCCACTGACCGGGAAGAGCACATCGGCGTCGCCATGCAGCACGTGCAGTGGAGCCCAGCTGTGCATCTGGGAGAGGCAGGCAGCCCCGTCTAGCGGCCTGCGGGGGGAGAACACAGCTGCACATCAGGGCCGAAAGCCCCAAGGGCCCCGAGTAGTACAGCACCTGATGGGCCTCCACAAGCCCCCTCTTGGGAACCAACCAAGCCATGAGGGGGATGAGAACAGAAGCAGGCCTGGGTGGGAGTCGGGAGCCAGCCCTCCGGTGCTCACTCTTTCAGCCCATGTTTACTGAGCACCTCCTACCTGCCCGGCAGTGCGCACACACTCTGTGCTGGCAAAGAACCAGCCAACAGTGTCCATCCTGCCCTCATGGAGCTTACAGTCTACTGGGGGAAGCAGACATGAGGCATGTAATCCCACAGGAAGGTGTGAAATAGCAGCTCAGGTCTGTGGAGCTGGTCGGGAAGGTGGTGGAAGGCTTCCTTGAAGAAGGGAGGTTTGAGGTGAGGACGGAGGGAAGAACCAGTGTCACGGGGGCGGGAGGTGGGGGGAGCATGTGCTGGTGCTGAAGCAGGAGGAGGCCCCGTGGGCTCCAGGCTCTGAAATGACCTTGGGCTAAGGTCCCTACGCCTCGCTGGTTCTCAAACCCTCACAAGTAAAAGGACAGAACCAGACCGGATGGTGTCTGGGTCCCTTCCAAGAAAGGGGGTCAGCTCAAATATTAACCAGGCTCATATGATCTGTTATACTGCCACCTTATCCACCAAGTACCAAACTAACCTGAGCCATCTTTGTAACGCCAGGCTGGTCCAGTTAAATTTGAGAAAGTATTTGCCCACTGCAGCATCTGCCTCTGGGCAATCAGGCACCACTGACAAATACCGGGAAGCATCTGTGCAGTACTCGAAAGTTTATAAAATCACGTCGTAAATCAGTTGTAAAGAAGACCAAAGCAGATCATAATCATACCTACTTAATGGAGGGAGGGAGGGAGGGAGGGATGAAGAGGAAGAGGAGGGAGAGGGAGAGGGGGAAGGGGAGGGAGGGGAGGGAGGGGGTAGGAAAACAACTCAAAGAGATCATGCGACTTGTCCAAGTTCATCACTTGGCCAGAACCAAGGCTTCAGCCCAGGTCTTCCAGATCCAATTACAATGAGGTCTCCTGGCCACTGCCCCATCACTGACATGATGTATATAATTCTTCTTTCGTTTAGAGCAGGGATTAACAAAATTTTTCTGGAAAGGACCAGATAGTCAGTTTTAGGCTTTGTGGCCCTAAGTATACTTCCTTGTTGGTTTTTTGTTTGGTTGGTTTTTGCCTTTTACAACGCTTTAAAAAATGTAACAGCCATTCTCGTCTGGGGGCAGATTTGGCCGGCAGGCTAGTCTGTCAACTCTTTTTTTTTTTTTTTTTTTTTTTTTTTTTTTT